GCAGCTTTGAGGCCAGCATCAAGGCGAAAGCCGCATGCTGAAAATTACCAGCCCTCAATCATTCGAATTGACGGTTCTTGCGTCAGGATAGTAGAGCGCAAAGAAGTCTCAATCAAAACGCCTGGCCTAGCATACGAACACGTCTGGTGGTGCGACAGGGGGGAAATGAGGAATAGGGATGTAGGAGAAGGAGGAGGAGGAGGAGGAGCAGGAGGTGGAGGAGGGAGGAAAGGGGTGACGACGACGACGACGACGACAATAACGAGGAGGATCATGAGTAGGGCGAAGAGAAGGACGACGACGACGACGACGACGACGACGACGACGACGACGACGATGGCAGGAGTCAGCCATAAGGCCTTCGCGGATATTTCTCTCTACGAGCTTCTTGGAGCCTTCATGGGGCAATGTCTGCAGCTCTCGGAGCCTTCTTGGGGCCATCTCGGGGCCTCTGGAGTGTTTCTCAGGGCCATCTTGAAGAAACTCAATCAAACAAGGGGGTGGCGAAGATGAGCACGGCCGGTCTTGAGCCAGATGAAGAACTTTGGGGGGCCATGTTGGGACGCTAGTTGGGCTTTCTTGAGGCCGGATCAGGCTCCTCTTGGGGCTCCTTGGGGCGTCTTTGGGGGCCGCCCTGAGGCCTCGGAGGACCGTCGGAAGCGGAACGGGGTGAAGGCAAGCGTCCGTGAAATAAGCATGTTTTGTTCGCATGATGTTGGTCTCTCAGGGGTCCTTGGGACGCTCCGTGGGCACTTGAAGCCGGTTTGGGGTGGTCGTGGGGCCTCTGGAAAGGCCTGCTCGGGGCCATGGCGTGCCATCCTGAAGGTCATCTCGGGCTCTCTGGGGCAATGCTGGTGCCATCTGGGGCCATCTTGGACGGTCTCACCGTGCGGGCCTCTCCCCTGCCCAGTTCCAGGGGAGAGGGTATGGGGGAGGGCCAAGCCACCCATCAGCTGCCAGCCGCCTCGCTCACTCCAACCCGCCCTCCCAACCCATGGGGCGTTCCACACAGGGCCTTGCCTTCGAGGATCGAAGGAGTTGTCATCTCTTCCTCGGCAGAAGGCGGCGGAAGGTCGGCGGAAGTAAAACGGGGCCGCCTCCGCCGGCGCAAGCCGGAGGAAGCTCGGCGGAAGGCGGCGGAAGTAAAAGATGTGCCCTCGAGAGATGAACACGTTTTGGGGCTCAGGGTTTCAGAAATCGCCCGCATAAGCATCACCCGGGAGGGAGGGAGGGAGGGAGGGAGGGAGGAGGAGGAGAGGAGGAGCAGGAGGAGGAGGAGGGGGAGGAGGACTCACCACACCCAGCGGTCGCCATTGGATGGACCGCTAGCGGGCACCAGTGCAGGCGCCAGGCGTGCGACGCCGGCGAGCTGCGCCGCGTGTGCCGAGCGCGCCACGCGCACCAGGTACGCCAGGCGCTCCAGGGACCCCGGCGTGCCACGCGCGCCTGGTGCGCTTGGTGCGCCACGCGCTCCACGTGCGCCAAGTGTGACTGGAGGGTTGCTCCGAAGGGCTTAGGCGACCCCTCCTCCTCCTCCTCCTCCGTCCTCCTCCTCCTCCTCCTCCTCCTCCTCCTCCTCCTCCTCCTCCTCCTCCTCCTCCTCCTCCATCTCCTCCTCCATCTCCTCCTCCTCCTCTTCCTCCTCGGGTCGTCTACGGCCCCGGGGGAAACCGTGCAAGTGTGACACGTGCTCAAGTGGCGCCAGGTGCGCGACGAGCTCAGGGTGCGCCAGTAGTTACACGTGGCAGCACATCAGGAGACATGATACCCCCACCACCGTCCCTGTCAAAGGGCGGCGCAAGAATGGCGAGGGAGCCATAATGGTGTGTGCTATGCGCGTTCGCAATCACTCTACACTAATTGTTGACAGCGGTGGTGGGCCTGCGCACATCGGGCAACATGCTGACACCCCGGCCGGCCGTGTAAAAAACAGTGCCTGCGCATGGTCCAAGATTTTGCCAGAAAGTGTGTGTGTGTGTGTGTCCGTATGTTTCTTGACAGGGATGGTGGGGGTGACAGGGTTTCGGATCGGCCGCCGGTCGAGTGAGGGAGGTTGCTAAGGAGCAGAGATACCCCCCCTCCCGAAGGTGGAGGATGGGTGTTAAAAGAAGGACACAGCCCAGTCGGCTAGTGGGATTTGTAGAACGCGTGTCACCAGGGCCAGAGGCCGACGTCTATGCGGCGACTCGTCGCGTTGAGCCGCAGCGCACCTCGGGGAGTGTACGGCATGATCGTCTATATGGTTTCGCTGTTGCTGTTCGACTGTCTCGATGAGTGTACACAGCGCCTCTGTTGACACTGGAGTGACCCAGGACCGGGCTCCGCCCTGATAGCCGGGCACTTCGCAAGACATGGTGCGCACAGGCGATGCACACGCTGGAAAGTGATCCCTGGCGCGAGCGCAACGCCGGCTCGAACCACCTCCCTGGCGCGAGCGCAACGCACGCAAAAAAACAAGCAGTGGCCCCGGGCCCGCGGAAAAAAAAAAAAAAAAAAAAAAAAAAAAACAAAAAAAACTGTTTCCCAACTGGTCTGCGCAAGTCCCAGCCGCACTCGCCGGGGCAGGCACTCCGTGGCCCGCCGGCCGCAGGCCGCCGCGTGCCAGCTGCCGCTCTGGCCCGACGGCCGCGGAGCTGCGCAGATGCGGGCCGCGCGCCCGCCGCGCCGCGCGGCGCTGCTCCTGGCGCTGTGCGCGGCCGCTTGCCGCCCCGCCTCCTCCTCCTCCTCCTCCTCCTCCTCCTCCTCCTCCTCCTCCTCCTCCTCCTCCGAGGTCGGCGCCGCGGGGGCCCGGGGGCCCGCGGTGCTGGCGGCGCGGGCGCCGGCAGGGGGAGCCCGCCGGCCTGGGCCCCGGGAGCGGGGGGGCGGGCCCGGGAGCTCGGGGAGCGAACGGTGGCACACAAAGACACCAAGGCTCGGAGGTCCGCGCGGAGTTCTCAGATCCGCGCCGGGCCCCCGTCGCGCGGCGCCCTCTCGGCGCCGATCCGAGAAGTCCTCCTCCTCCTCCTCCTCCTCCTCCTCCTCCTCCTCCTCCTCCTCCTCCTCCCTCCTCCTCCTCCTCCTCCTCCTCCTCCTCCTCCTCCTCCTCCTCCTCCTCCTCCTCCCCCTCCTCCTCCTCCTCCTCCTCCTCCTCCTCCTCCTCCTCCTCCTCCTCCTCCTCCTCCTCCTCCTCCTCCTCCTCCTCCTCCTCCGCCTCCGCTCCCCCACAGGAGCGGGCTTCCCCGGGGGCCGCGGGGCGGGCGGCCGGGGCCTGGCCGCCGAGGCCGCGGAGGAGGCCGAGGGGGGCGGCGGAGCGGGCGGCGCCGGGGGCGGCCCCGAGGCCGGAGAGGTCGGCCACGGCGTCGGCGAGGCCGAGGAGGGCAGGGCTCGTTTCGATTCCTCCGATCCCAGACCCCCTCGAGCTATGAAAAAATCACGACGGGAGGTTTTTCGCCATTTTCGGCCTCCTGGGGCCCTCACCGGGCCTCGGGAGCGTCAAAAAACGACTCAGGATGCAAAGCCGGTCATGGGGAAAGGGTCGGGACCTCTGGGGATCGACGTAATGAAAAAATCATTACGTCGGGGGTCTGGGATTCGATTCGATGCGATTTCGATGGCTTCCGATTCCGATCCGATGGCATTCCGTCGTGGGCTCCGATCTCTTTTGCCGGAGGCATACGAGCCTGCCGATGTCCGCCGACTCGACTTTTTCCCCGATCCGGCCGCCGAGTTCCGCCGAGCCGATCCACGTCGATTGCCGATCCGGTGGATCTCAAGGGAGGAAACACCACCCAGACCAGAGATTTGGCGTTCACTTAGATGGCCCTGGGCGTTTCTCCTCCTTCCCCTCCTCCTCCTCCTCCTCCTCCTCCTCCTCCTCCTCCTCCTCCTCCTCCTCCTCCTCCTCCTCCTCCTCCTCCTCCTCCTCCTCCCTCCTCCTCCTCCTCCTCCCTCCTCCTCCTCCTCCTCCTCCTCCTCCTCCTCCTCCTCCTCCTCCTCCTCCTCCTCCTCCTCCTTGATGCCTTCTCTGGGTGCGTTGTCTAAGCGGCCTCGCGTGTCGCCCTCTGTGCTCGGTTCGAGGCGGGAGAGGCCGAGGAGGGCGGGCAGGCGAGCGCCGCCGGAGGCGGCGGCGGCCACGAGGCAGGAGAGGCCGGGGAGCGCGGGCACGCAGGCGCCGAGGCCGCAGCAGAGGGCGAGGCCGACGAGGCCCGTGGGGCGGGCGGCCGCGCAGGCCGCGAGGCCGAGGACTCGCAGGTCGGGCACGTCCCTCCACGGGGGAGATGTTCATCAGAGCGTGACTTGGCTACCCCGCGTTCGCTTCCAGGCAGCACCAGGTCATGCCACGCGCCTCCCTTTTCAAGCGGCCTGACCAGCGCAGGCCGCAGCTCGGCGTCGCTTGGCACTCCAGATCTCGTGATAAAGGGAGGGGGGTCTCGTTTCGGGGGGGGTCTCTTCCAGGCTATCTTGGAGGGCCTGGGGGGGTCTGGGGACGATGTTTTGGAGGGTTCTCCCACGGGGGGGGGTCCAAAACTTCTCGTCTGGGAGGGTTGAGACCCCCTCCCTTTTTATCACGAGATCTGGAGTAGGTTTTTGCTCCCCCCTAGTTAAGCCAGGCGGTCGCAAAAACGTGGACATCGAGAGGGGGCGTAGGTCGGCGACGGGCCCCGTCTCCGTGGGAGGATGTCGCGGACTTCGTCCGCCGCCGGGCACAGGGCGGCACGGGCCGCATATTTGGGGGGGGAGGGCGCCTCCCCCCTTGGCATCTTCGGCGCTCCTCCTCCTCCTCCTCCTCCTCCTCCTCCCTCCTCCTCCTCCTCCTCCTCCTCCCCCTCCTCCTCCTCCTCTCCTCCTCCTCCTCCGCCTCCACCCCCTCCTCCTCCTCCTCCTTTTCCTGCTCCTCCTCCTGGGGGGGCGTAAGACCCGGGTTTGCCAGGACTCGGGCTCGCCATCGTTTGTTGACGACCGCGCCTCGGAGTTTGACGAGGAGGAGTTTCGTGGGATGTCTGCAGCGGGAGGCCTCGTCAAAATGCAGGCTCGGCCTCGTCATTTTTTGACGACCTCGTCGGGGATTTTCGAGTCCCCTGTACCCAGGTCTTACGTCCCCCTGAGCCTCCCCCTTGGCATCTTCGGCGAGGGCCGTTTTGCCATTTCGGGCGTGTGCATTTTTTCTTCGGCGAGGGCCCTCGAGGAGCGTCCTTGATCCTGTGGCGAAAAGACCGCTCGCGAAACCGAGAAAAAACACAGGGAGTGGACGTCCGAGCGATGGCCAGCCCCCGATCCATGGATTTGGTGACCGCGCGCCAAAGCCATGGATCGCCAATCCATGTTGGCGCGCCCCCGAAGATTTAAGAAGAGTCCAAAAATAGGCGGGGGACGATTTGTTTGATTGATTTTGACTATCTGGGGTCATTTATGGGCCAGGTTCAAGTTGTCCTCCAAAACCCGCCTGTAAGAGGACCTGCCCGACCTAAGCCGAGGACGAGGGTGGCCATGAGGAGGGCGAGGCCGAGTCCGAGCACGAGGAGATGAGTAGCGTCGACATCGCCGTCCTGGTAATGTTCTTCGGGGGCGCGATCCTGGGCCGCTGCGGCCAGATGTTCCTGAGCTATCCGGATGCCGACGTTCGCGTGTCTGCGAACCGAATGTTTTGCGTCGCAGTTTCGATTTTCATCGCGATGACAATTTGGAGTTTGTGCCATAGCTTCCTCGTGCATCAGCTCATTCCGAGCCCTTTTCCGAGAGGCCTCGCGATTCTCGACGAGGTCATGCAGCAGAGGGCTGAATTGTTCATCATGGTTTGCCTCTTTGCAGGTCTGTGGATATTGATCAGCTTGTTCTGTCACTGGACAGGTGACTCTAAATTGCGTGAATGGCGTGGGGCTGCTAAAACGTTGACACCTCATGTCTGTGGATTCGCTGGTGCCAATGTGGTGATGAGGTGCATGGTACTGGCGCACGCGTGGGCTGGTATGATGGGCGTCGCCGTGGCTGGAGTTACCACATGTGGGGTCCTCCTGCTCTGCATGGCGGCAACGGAGGCTATGCGCCAGCAGCGATGCTACACAGAGACCCTCTCAGAACAGGAACAGCACGAATGCTTGGAAGCTGCAATGGAGGGTGAAGATGAAGCCGCTGCTTTTATTACCAGTGCCGTTCTGCTTGGAACCTCCGCAGTTGCATTTCACATGGGCAATTGTGATGTCGAAGAGCACGTGGGTAACATCGAGCATACCCATTGCGTACAAGCTTGCATGAAAGTGTTAATGTATTTATTGGCACCCTTGATCATCGTGTTCCCATGTGCTGCCAACAGCAAACTTTGTGGCAGCTGTACTGGTCGCTCTATGTTTCAGAGGTCTGCGCGAAACGTGAAGGTCATCATGGCCATGACGATAAGTCGTGCGTTGCTCTACGTGACACGTTCTACATTCGAGGGCATGATTGATCAATCAGCAGTGGCCCAGCTTTCGACTGCGATTGTGGTGTCACTTAGCGCGATCATTTTGACAATTGCCTTCGATTCTATTGCTGATCGACTGGAGAAAAAGGCGGTCGAAGAAGGTCCTGACACCCGTGTCATGGATGGAAACTCAGATTCGGAGGATCTTCCAGAGTGCCCGGGGAACGTCTGCAGCCCGCTCAGCGGAGGAGCATCTCCGAGCAAAGCGGCGGTCCAGCATTTGATGTTTTCCACGCGCAATTTCATCGGCGTCTTTGGCCTGCTCGTTGGCCTGAGCTGGGAGGCCGTCTTCGAGGCGGGCAACAAGACGCTCGTCACGTGGATCAATGACCAGATCCACGCGGACGGCATGGGCGACCACAAAGTAATCCTGCAGACTTGCTTGACGCTGCTCGTCCTGGGCGTGGTCCTGGGGAAGGGGAGGGAGGGAAGAGCGAAGAGGGCAAGCTGGGTGCGCTCGCGCCATATCTGACATCCAATCCCTCCCACCGACCCCTTCCCATAACGCTATGATGTATCCATCCGCCGACGCGTGCCATAGCGGGCCTGGAACTCCAAAGAGGACCCGATCGGTCCATGCACAATTGGAAAAACCGCGTTGAATACGTTGAAGGAGGAGGTGGCGGATGAGCAGGAGGATGAGCAGAAGGAAATGAAGGAGGATGAGAAAGGAGGAGGACTAGGACGAGCAGCAGCAGCAGCAGCAGCAGCAGCTGGAGTGGAAGGTGCGGGAGGAGTAGGAGGACCAGGGGATGGCGGAGGAGGAGAAATGAGAGGGGCGACGACGATGAAAAATGATTTGAATTCAGAGAAGTGGCGAGCGTTGGGGCCAGAGCACCATCCTGAACGACGGGAGCAAAGCACAGGTCCGAAAATGAGGCCCACGCTGCAGCGGGAACACCACTTTAAAACACCAGAACCACGTGGATTGCAAACACACAACCATAACATAACACACTGTTCGATCATGTGTGTAAAAAGCAGCACGCGGAGAGGGCCGAGCCTCTTCCAGACAGAGTCTGGGGAGAGAGGAGTGTCATATTCATAATGAATGATGGTGGAGGGGGATGGGGATCTTGAGGTGTTGCCTGGCTGGGCCAAGTACCTTGTCCCCCTGGCGGAGAGGACCAAGGAGTTTCACAATTCCAACATCGAGCATGAGAAGGACACGACACCTGTGATGTGTGATCGCAGGACACTGCGCATGTTGGTGCGGAGGGGCGCCTGCTGCTGTCGTCGATCACACGACCACGGCGCTGAGTCCGATGATGACGAGACGTCATGCGAGGAGTAAGTACTATCCTCGGACGGAGCGGCAGCGTAATTTGTGTAAGGTGTTGACCAGCCCGGCCGAGCTTGCCGCCCAAGATGCGTGGTGAGTTTTCACCGTTTGCTCCTATCTAGCCTTCGGCCCATCCGACTACCGAGCCTGGGTCGTGCACAAAAGGCTTCGTCGGAGCCTATTCGAGAACTCTTCGGGGACTCTCAGAAGCTCATTGGGGCTCTAAAAGGCTGTTCGCGCCCCCCCTTGTTAGAGACCTCTTGGGAGTCTTGAAAGCATCAGAGCCCCTCTTGGGCGGGTCTCAGGGGCGTCTGGGCCATGGCTGGACGCCCTGAAGAGCAACAAACGAAGATGCGAAGCCATACAGCACATGGTTTAATGATTTGTGCATCTTGGGCTGGCCCCCAGGGCCTCCAAGACGGCCCAAGAGGTCCCCAAGACAGCGCCAGGACGGCCCCTTGGGGTACCGAAAGTGCTTGAGCCTTTTTGGGCGTGTCTTGGGAGGCTCTGGAGGCACATTGGCGTCGGTGTGGGCGGGTTCAGGCCCACGAGAGACGCGTCCGGGAGCGCCCGAGGATTCCAGCAGATTGGTGGTTTGAGGGTCCATGCCGTTCAGAGTCACACACTCCCTGTGGCAACACTCCGAAGTGTATGAGCCTTGGAGGCGCTCCACTACTTGCTCAAGGTACGGCGGATCGTGGCTTTCTTCCAGCGAGCCCATTTCGAGATACGCCTGGCGGCGGCAGTGCTCGCGAACACGACGTGCGAGAGCCGAGAACATGTTTTCCCCATTCGGGAGAGCGTCTCCTGAGCACACTGGGAGACGGTCAGGGGGAAGGCTACGAGCGCCCCCCTCGTCGAAAGCCCCAAAAGATCAAGGGGGTTCGAACCCCCCTCGCACCCCCCTTGCCCCATCTCGAGAGTGCAAGTCGAGAGGAGGGGGATGTTCAACACCCCCCGCGCAGGAAAACGAAAACGACGACCGGGACCACGACGGCGACGACGCCAGGCGCCAGCAGCCGTTCACGACGACGACGCCGACGCCGGCGGCGGCGGCGGCGACGGCGACGACGGCGACTGCGACTGCGAAGGCGACGACCACGAACAGGACCACTAGCACGGCCACGACAACGCTTAGCCCCAGCAAACGACGGGGACGACGACGCGTCCCGCTCGCCCTCCCGACCGCCCGAGTCTCCGGAAAACGGCGACAGCGGCGACGGGGGGATTTTCTTGGGGCGGGAGAGGTGGTGGAAGGCTCCAGAGCGCGGGAGGTGGGGACTTTGCACCAGTGAAGCGTACGCAGAAGGCGTTGTCTCGTTCATTCCCAGACGTACTCTCTGCATCCTCGCATTCATCGACTCATAATTTCAAGGAAGCAGACGCAAGGAGAAGAGGAGCGAGGATAGGAAAGGAGAGTAGCGAGGAGGGGTGGGATGGAGAAGCCGGAAGAGGAGGAGCAGGAGCAGGAGCAGGAGCAGGAGAGGGAGGAGGCCCTGTCCAGGTTAGTTCAAGGGACCTTGCTTCGTGTCATCAACCTCGCTAAAATGGACCACGACCATTTTGTCACAGTTGACGTGCAAAGCGTGTCCTTGAACCCCATACTTTGCTTACGCTGAAACAAAACGGCTTGCTCAGTGTCACCGTCCTCACAGCTATCAGGTCTATGGTGTCTGCATCCCGTCTTCTGTGTGGCGAAAAGGTTCCCGTGCAGATCGCTCTCGCCAGCCTAACTGGTAGCATGGGGCACTGGTCCCACGCAAAGCTAGCACGGCAAGGGCGCGGGCAAGGGCTAGGAAAAAGAAGCACATTAGCGGGGCAAGGCCAAGGCGTGGGGACACGAAGAGAAGAGGATGGGCCAGAGAGTCTCCAAACGCCTTCAACTGGAAGGCCTCATTTCAGGAGGGGAAAAAAAAACACAGACACAATTAATCGTCGATCCCCAGGAAAATATGCGAAAATATGGGAATTGGGCGGGAAGACAAAAACCCAGAAAATATGGAAAACTATGGGGGATATTTTTATTTGTGTGTATTTATTTGTGTGTTCTGGGGCCCCTTTGTCATTAGCGGAAGGAAGCAGACCTCCCCGTGAAGTTCTCTGCTAAGGTTTGGCAGGAGAGCTCGAGGAAGACCCCTGCCAGGGCCGAACCAACCCATTGGTCAACAGTGGAGCTGGACCGTCCTCCTCCTCCTCCTCCTCCTCCTCCTCCTCCTCCTCCTCCTCCTCCTCCTCCTCCTCCTCCTCCTCCTCCTCCTCCTCCTCCTCCTCCTCCTCCTCCTCCTCCTCCTCCTCCTCTCTCCTCCTCAGAGCTCACTCCAGGCCCAGGCGGAGACACCCCAGGGCGGATACCGAGGATCCCCACCAAGGCCTTCGCGGGCGCCAGCTCTTGAGGACGAGGATCCCGACGACCCCTGGCATTGAACTTGTCGACGCGGCAGCCCTGGATAGTAACTTTCGAAAGATGCAGCTGGCCAGAAAGATCATGCTGAAGTGGGAGCCCTCGAGTTTGATTGGTTTGTGGGGGATTGCCAGGAGCGGGAGCCTTTTGAGTCCGCAGGAGAGCTGCCAGGATGCAGCAAAAAAATCTGACCACGTATCCACGCTCAGCACGAGTCCCATGGACTTTTGACCCACTCGAACCACAGACCATCGTGTGGGTGTCTTCATCGGTATCCTGGCGCCTCTTTGGGCCTTGTGGGTTCGTGGTGGTCTTTTGGCCACTTCGGCCCTCCTGACGACCTCCCTCTTGATCGGTCCTGGCAGTCTTTGGGCGCTCTTTCGGATTGTCTTGGAGGCATGTTAGGGCCAACGGCCATTTTGGGCCACTCATGAGCCGTCTCGGGGTGTTTTCTGGGCCATCTTCGCGTGCTTGTCGTCTGCCCTACGGGTTCCAGCGTCGCTGCTCGAACTGGTGGGCTCGAGCCTGCCGCGTCGTCCACCCCACCGGCTTGGCAGCGGATGCAGCAAGGGCTCTCGCGGGGCAGGGCGCGCGCTGCTGCTACTGCTGCGGCAGCAGCTTGTTGGGAGCCCATTGGCCGCAGCTGCGCCGAGAGCTGCCGCCGCCACGATCTCTGATGGGCGTGTTTGCCACCACCACCACCACCAGAAGTTGGAGGGGGGAACGAGGAGGAGGACGAGGAGGAGAAGGACGAAGAGGATGAGGAGGAGGAGGAGGAGGAGGAGGAGGAGGAGGAGGACGAGGACCCCCTCCCCCTCCAACAGATGGTGGTGATGGTGGAAAACAGGCCCATCGATCTCCGTCGCAGTCGAGCCATTGACCCTCGCCGCTATCATATGGGCGCTGTCGCCCGGGGAGCACCGCCCGAGGACGTGTACAAACTTGCGGGGGAGGGGCCCGCGCCAGAACTGAGTCGGGCCTGCCCCTCTAAGGGGGGGAATCTCCAAAAATAGTGCAAACATCGTCCCCTGACGATTGTCTGACCATTGTTGTGTATTTTTCTGATATGTGTTGAGTACTTCTTATTTTTCGTTCAAAATCCGCCTGTAGGGGAACACGCCCGACCTAACGACAGAACGCGAAAGCACATGCCACTCACTGGAGCCCTGAGGCGCGAAGGGGATAGATGTGCGGGGCAAGCAGCTCCTTCGGTGTTGGAAGCAGCCTGAGCCAACTTGGCTACGGATTCCCCTTCCTCGTCCTCTCTGCTCCTCCTTCCCCCCCCCCTCCCGCTCTCCTCTCGAGGCCTCCGGAGGCCTCCAGAATTCCAGCAAGGGTCAAGCACACATGAACGAATATGTCCTCCCCCTTCTCTGGTGTACCCGAGCCTGTTCAAACATCGATCCTTGGACCCCTCCAGGGTCAGTCCTGGCAAGTTGCTTGAGCTGCATCCCGCAGTAACGCGGGGACCCCCCAGGAGCGCCCCAAACACTCCAAAGCACCAGCGTTGTCGCGTCGACGTCTTCTTCCATCCCCTCCATGCTCCCCCTCCCCCTCCCATTCCCCCTCCCCCCCTCCCCCTCCCCACCCTCTCCTCTCCCCCCCTCCCTCCCCTCCATCATCCCATGCCCCCTCCCCTCCATCACCACCCTTCCCTCCCCCCTCCCCGCTCCCCGCTCCCCGCTCCCGCCCATCCCCCCCCCTCTCCCCCACCTCCCCGCCCCCTGGCGGCAGGCCCCGACGACATCGCGCCGGTCGCCGAGCCGAAGGCCAAGGCAGAGCGCGGGGGGAACGCCCCGCCGGCTGCACCGGCGGGCTGAGGGGGGGCCCAGGCCTCATGGAGGCCCGGGGAGTAGCGGTATCGGTACCTTTTGACTTCCCCAATACCCCGTCAGGGCCACCCCCGTTTCTTTCGGCTGCGCCCTCCAGCCTTGCGAGGGGAGGCCCAGCAGGCGCTTGCGCCCTTCCGGACGGGACACGCGTGTGCGCATCGATGGCTCTCTCCCTTTCTCTTTCTGTCTCTCTTTCTCGCTCTCTCTTTCTCTCTCTCTCTCTCTCTCTCTCTCTCTCGCTCTCGCTCTCTCTCTCTCTCTCTCTCTCTCTCTTTCTCTCTCACACCCTCTCTCTGTGTCTCATTATCTCGCGTTTTCTCTCTATATATATATATATATATACACATGTGTATATATATATTGATGTGTCTATATGCTGATATTGCTATATCCCTCTCTACCGATACATGTATGTATACATAGATGTGTGTGTGTATGTATGTATAGTTCATTGTGTCTGCTCCTCCCGTGCTCATTATATACATAAGCATGGGGGGCCACACACACCTATACATGAATCTATATATATATACAGATATGCATATTCCAATGTACAACCAATCCTTACTGCACAGCTGTTTGTCTGTTGTTCTGGTTCCCAGGAGGTCCACAACTTGGCCTGGCTCAGATCTGAGGATCCATGAAAACCAAAAACCGTGTGCATAGTAGAGTTTGGTGGTACCCCCCTCCTCCCCTCCCCCAAAAATAACATGTATAGCAAGGCTTGGCGGACATGCTCTTCCCGCAAGCCTCCCTGGTCAAGTTTGCACCCCCTCCTGTAAAACCAGCAAACAAACCACAAACAACACCTGTGTATGGTCGGGTTCGGTGGTATCGCCGACCAAAAGAACTGTGCGTAGTAGGGCTTGGCTGCCATGCTTCTTCCGCAAGCTTTCCTGGCCAAGTTTGCTGGTTTCCTGGGAACCAACAAATGCATGCGTATAGTAGGTTTGGTGGTATCCCGGACAAACACAACGTAACCAAACATGTGTAAATATCTTGTAGGGTTGTGCCAATGCTCCTCCTCCTCCTCCTCCTCCTCCTCCTCCTCCTCCTCCTCTTCCTCTTCTTCCTCCTCCTCCTCTTCTTGAAGAGGACCTCTTCCCCCTCCTCCTCATCATCACTATTCTTCCTCATCCTGCTCCTCCTCCTCTTCACGCACTTCGTTATACCTCTTCTGTTCCTCCCCCTCATCCTCGCCCTCAGCCTCCTATGTATCATCATTCCCCCTCTTGCCACGCTGCTCCATCTTTCTGGCGCCCCTCCCCTCCTAACGGGAGAAGTGATTGGTGTCAGGGTGATCCGCCGCTACACGCGGTTGTGAAGGCCCACATCTGTTCAACCAAAGCAGAGCCCGGCAGGATCATAGCTTGCCAGCATGGAGTCACTGTAAGCCAGGCGTAATACGAACGCCTACTGCGCGCTAGCCCCAGCTGCTCCCAACGACGCCGCCCATGCCGCTTATAACACACGGTAGCGCAGGCGCTAGTGTTTCAACGAAAGACGTTCTCGAGGTTTCGGGGGGTGTTTCCGGGCTGGCCGAGGAGCTCCCAGGAGACCCCCACGAGCCCCCAGGAGCTCCCAGGAGTTCCCTGGAAATTCTGCGAGCGGCTGGGAAATCGGGGGTCCAGGCCCATAGAACCTAACAGCCCGCAGGGCTGAATTAACCTTTGGCCTGTTGGGTGACTATATTTATAAATACAGACAGGCAGACAGACGGACAGACAGACAGACAGACATGCATGCATGTATACATACACACATAATATATATATATATATATATATATATATATCGGAGTCGGCCAGGGGGGGCCTGGGCTGGTGCCGTCATCCCCCATGGGCGCCCCCCGGAACCTTTGGGGGGTCACAGACCCCACCAGGACTGCCCCAGGCCGCTTC